TATTTGATAATAAAGCTTATATAATTCCTCTAAACTGGCACACAGATCATTATCTGCATATCTTTTGCGATAATTTTCTAGCCTTAGAGTATATGCCTCTTCATTAGAAAACATCTTAACTGCAATTGTCTTAATATAATCATTCAGATTCTTTTCAGCTTGCAATTTCTTTAGATAGTCTCCATAATTTTTTGCAAGATTATCATATTTTCTGCCCTTTCACAATGCAGTTTTTATGACTTTGACTTGTGCAAGTTCTATATCTTTATGATTAACCATTTTATATGTTTTTACTATATCAATAAAAAAACTTTAATTAATGAAAATATATTTTTTAGAATTTTTTTTACCTGAAAAAATATTTGTTATAAAGTATCTATGCCTTAACACGAAGTTTAGCTTTCATAGTTCTTTCTTCTGCTTACTCAGGAGATATTTCAGATGCTACTAGGTGTTTATATAATCCAATTCGCCAATGTCCATAGGGAAGAGTTCGAATTCTATCAAGTAAGATCTAGCATTTGTTATTATATGGATTTAACCCTATCTTATTTACTCTTTCTAGATATATTTGATGATCATAACTGCAAAGACCATACATGTCATGCCGAGTTAGTTTCTTATTCCTAAGACATTCTAGAAATTTATCATGTCGAAGCTCTTTTTTGACCACACATTTCTTTATACCTTTTGCCTTTTGGATACCATGCTTCTTTTTAGGGTCTTCAGAATCTGGGTCATCGGGAGTTTTAGAATCATGTCCTGCTAGAAGGACTTAGTACATCTTTGGCTTTAAACATACTGTTTCCCCTATGGGTATGCCCTTTGTCTCATCTTTCATTAGAAATAAATTGCCTGAATAGTTAAGATCAAAAATGTTTGGCCTCTCTGCTCAATCTTTATATATGTCTTCAGTTTTTATCTGCATGATGAGTGAGTCTGTGTCTGTATAAAGTAGACGGGCTTTATTTTTATAGTGAGGCTTTATATAACTGTACCAAAAGTTAAACATTATGGCCTTGCTAATGTCAAGAATTGCCTGCCCTACATAGATTGGTTTATTTAGTGTTACTGTGCTCTTTAACATATGAACTGCTGTAATATCTCTCTCAAATT